TAAGATACAACCTATCATGCACAATGCTAGGAAATGGCATACACGATGCACGAGATAACATGGCATACACAATGCGCTAACATACGGCCTAGCATACACAATGCTATGAAATGAAATGGCATACGCAATGCAACATGGGCTTACACCAACGTGAGTGGACCTCAGCCACACTCACACAGGAGGCCATAAGATGAAAATGAGACTCTCGAGATGCATGCACGCAAACCGAGGACCGAACCTAAGGCACAAATGCCACTCTAACAAGACATGGCAAGGCATGGATTATGGCATACTAGCATGCAAATTTTAGTATCAAAATATGATGCAAAACAGCCCCGAAACATGGCAATATGGCACCCGATACATAGAATGAGACCCGAAACATGGAATTAGGTACATGGAATGACCTATGGCTATGCAAAGCATGCACTATTTGATCATGAAGTGTGAAGAAAGAATCGAGACAGCCCCAAAACAAGAATATTTACAGTTTTAAGCAAGGCCAAACAATGGACACAAATAGGACTAAGCTAGCATGCAAAAATGGCCCCATAAGAGAGGTAATGAAGCAAGTAGCAGCTTCTGGTCTTAAATGGCCAAGAGCCCTTCAACAAAGTTTAAGAGGGGCTCAACATGAAGTACTTTACAGTTTACAACAAGCCACGGATCTAAACACAAACAGGCCTAAAACATTGTGCAAGAAATGAGCCAAAAGGGGGACAAAGAAGCAAGTGATGATTGCTGGCCTCAAACAGAGAAGGACCCTTCAACAAAGTTGAAGAGGGGCCCAAAACATGGTATTTTTCAGTTAGTGACCAAACCCAAAACAGTGCACATGCAATCTTAAAACACTATGAAAAATAAGGCCTAAAAAGAGGTTTAAACGCAAAGAGTAAAAAGGGAGCCTCAAACAGCAAAAGACCCTTGATAAAACATAAAGAGGGGGTCAAAATAAAGCTATTTACAGTTCGGACCAGAGCCCAAAAACACAAGCACAAGGGGCTAACAAAACATGCAAAAATAAGGCCAAAAGAGGGATAAAGAGGCAAGTGACAAAAGGAAGCCTCAAAAAGTGAAGAGCCCTTCAAAAATGTTGAAGAAGAGCTCAAAAAAAGCCATTTTACAGTTTATAACCAAGCTCAAAACAGTTTATAAATAGGCCTAAAATACTATGCAAGAAAGAGGCATACAAGAGAGGTAAAGAACAAAGTGTAAAAAGGAAGCCTCAAACAGGGAGAGGCCCTCAAACAAACATGAAAAAGACCTCAAAAAAATGCTATTTTAAGTTAGGGTTGGAGCCCAAATATGCAAGCAAGAGGAGCTAATATATAGAACAAAATAAAGCACAAAAGAGGGAGAATGAGGACTCACCCTTGTAGACCAAGCTCCAACAGCTTTTGGCTTGAGAAAAGGTGCTCCTAAGCTCTGGAAAACCAGCTCCAAGTGTTGGAAAGGATGGTGGTGGTGTGGTGCTATGTGGTGGTGTAGAAAGGGGTGTAGGATTTGGGGTTTTGGGGCTTTGAATAAAGAGAGAGAGAGAGATATATGATGCAAGAGCCTTAAAGCAAAATTTGTAACCCCTAAAATGGGAGCTGGAGGGCCTGATATATAGGAAAAAGTGTGGGAAAAGAGGGGGGGGAAAAGGGGGGGAAATGAATTCAAGTTTCTCCCAACAAGTGCAGCCCCCCGGATACATAATCTGGGGGAAACAAAATACACATTTGTAATGTACCTGGAGAGAGGATCATGGCCGGTCGATTATTGAAGTTGCAGGTGACCGGCCGACCCTTCCCATGGCCAGCCGGCCAAGGGTCAAAAGGGTCAAGAGGTATTAGTGGCCGGCCATGCCAAAAAGAGGGCCTCTCATGTGTGCACAACACAACCATGTGGTCAAAAACTGGAGAAAGTGAACCAGGAGAGAGAAAGGGCCACTTTTAGAAGGGGTTCAAAAGGGTCACACACAATTATTGGCTGGCCATGTGATATTGGTGGCCTCCCAGGTGTGTACAACACAAATATGTGGTTTAGGGCTGGAAAAAGTGGCCTTAGGATGGTCAACATTCGCTTTCAAGTGAGAAAAACGGACGACGGAGGGCGACGGAAGAATAAAACTGGTTGTCAGAACAATTACTGGCCTCCCACCCTTCTACGACCTTTCTAACAATGAAACAGAGGTACCTGCCAAAAATGAGCCCAAACCGATGCAAAATGAAGGTTCGGGGGCCGAAACGCGTAGCCCGAGGTCCTGAAAACTGACTGTTAGGCACCAGATGTAGTGTTCGACCACGAAGTTGGTCTCTCGGGCCACAGTGTCCCTCAAAAGGGAGCAAATAAGATGCATGCCAAAAAATCGGAGCAAACGGAGGTGGTTAAGCGGTCCCGAACCGAGACACACGGCCAACGGCTCTGAAAAACCGAAAACCAGACTCCAAACGGGCAAAATGGCCTACGACCACGAAACGTAGCCTACGGCCACTGAGAGATGATCTACGAGACCTCTCCCTCCCTTCGGGAAGAGAAAACAGAGCCTGGTTCGCAAACCGAGACAAAACATGAAAGAGTTCGGAAGTCCGGAGGCAAGGCTCGCAGTCGAGACTCTGAAACCTCAGAACGAGCACAATATGCACCATCACCGAGCACTCAATCGGTGACGTCTGAGTCTTAAGGTCGGTCAAAAATGGGGTGTCTACAGGATGATGTCAGTAAAGATAAGTGACTCTGGAAGTTGGGCGTTGGAGTTCAAAAGGCCGCTTAGAGCATGAGAGGTGGCTGAAGAAGGAAGGCTTATCCATATCATTAATGGTTCTTTGCCGACATTGGTAGATCGTGATGATTGTTTAAGATGGTTAGCTTCCTCTTCAGGTCAGGTCAATTCAGTGTTGCTTCTTTGTATAATAGGAGTGAACCTTAAACTACTTTTGTTATTCCCTCCCTCATTTGGAGTAATTTCTCGCCTCCTAAAACACAATTCTTTTGGTGGTTGGCTTGGAAGGGGAGGGTCAAAACAATGGCTTATTTGCAGCGGATTAGTGTACTCTCTGATGTGGCTCGGAATACCTGTGTGTTTTGCAATAATGATATTAAAGATATCAATCATGTTTTCTTGCTATGTCCTTTAATTTGGAAGGTGTGGTCGAATATGGTAGATTGGTGGGGTCTAAGATGGTTTGTTCCAGGTTCAATTGTCAGACTTCTTGATTGGTGGACTGGGTTTAAATTTAAAAAGCTTGAGTGGCTGATTTGGAAAACAATTCCTATGGCTTTGCTGTGGTCCATATGGAAGTGCAAGAATGACTATGTATTTAGAGGAGTTCAACCACAAGTGATGGATCTTTGTGAGAAGGTAAAAATTAGGATAACTTTGTGGGTTAAGTATCATAACACAAGCCTTGCTTTTTTAGTGCAGGATCTAGTTCATAATATGCAGCTAATTAGGGGTCAAGCATTGTGATTTACAAGGGCTTGATGGAGTCAGAATTTGGGCATGTTATATGCTGGGAGTGGTTGTTGTTCTCAAATTGATATGTGTACACAGTTGTATGTTGTTGTTAAAGTCTGCATTATGAACTGATTTGGAAGTTGCTATGGTTTCCTGGGTTGGGATCTATTGCATTGCTTTGTTGTGGTCTGCCTGCCGGACTGCCCTGTTGTGGTTTATTCTGTTGATGGAAAGAAACTAATTCATAAGGAGATAGCAAACAGAGATTGATGCTGCTATATGGAGCTCCTAATGGTGCTGAGAAGGATGATGCTGGTTTGGGTGTCTTCAGACTTAGATGAAGATGGAGGTGCTGCTGTGGGTGCTACATCCAGGTCTTATCTTCTGGTGTAGGTCCTGAGCTGCTGATATAGACGGAGTTGCTGCTGAGTTATGCTGCTAGTGCTCTGCTGGTGTGATATGTGGATAGCTGTTGTGCTCTGCAAATAGTGGAGCTGTTTGGCCTACTAGTGGTATGTTGCTTTGTTGTTGTTGTCTGGTCTGAGGCTGGGGAGTGGTAATGCTAATGCCCCTTCTGTTATGCATTTGAGAAACTGAGTCAGGTGTTGCTATGCATTTGAGATGTATGGGTATGGATGGCTGCTGTGTTCTACAGGTGGATGGCTCACTACAACAAGTTGGGTCTTGGATGACGAATTTTTTTTGTCTCCAAAGAGCTAATTTCGTCACTATAGATATTTGTGAGGAAATATTTTCGTCACCAGGTTTGTCATTGAATGTTTGTCACTAAAAAGCATCGTGACAAAAAATAATTTCGTCACCAATGAAATTACTTCAGTGACGAAACTTTTTGTCACTAATAAAACAACATTTTGTCGCCAAAAATTCTCATTTTCGTCACCAAATAGTTATTCAATACCATATTTATAACTTTAGTTGACGAATAAATTTGTCACGCATGTTGATCATTGATGAGGAAATAATTTCGTCACAATAAGATGTAAAGGTGACGAAATTTTTCGTCTTCAAAAGTCATACATGGGTGACGAAATATTTTTCGTCACAAATATATATATGCGTGACGAAATTTTTAGTCACCAAACAACAAAATAAATAAAAATATTCATATATAAACTATAGTAAAATTTGTCACAAAAAAAGTTTATTAGTGACGAATAATCACTTTGTCATAATAACAAGTACAAATGACGAAACAAATTCGTCACTAAACTTGTTCCATATTTTATATACAATTTAAATTATTATTTCACAAATATCCTTGCTCATATCCCAGTAGCATTTTAATTGTACTAAGAAATCCACTAGCTATTATACATCACTCCACAAAAAAATTCACTAAACAATTTATATTATAAATCAAAATATATCCATCAAACAACTTTAATAATAATCCATTAAGTATCGCAAAAAAACCATCAAAGCAAATTCCAAAATCAACTAGCGTGGTGTCCAAAAAAAATCAACACTCAATCTTAATTTGCAACTACAACTAAGCATCAGTTTAAGAAAAAAAAATTCAACTGTTGATCTTCATTTGCAGGTATGCTTCCGAACGTCATCAAAACCAATCTACAAAGAAAATAAACAAGGCAAACATTAGCATAGAATGTATATATATAAAGTTTATTATAATAGCAAAGTTTTATTATAAACGTAAAGCCAAATATCAGAATGCTAACAAATATACAGAACTGTTGTCAAGATCACAAGCTTGAAGTTATCTAAATAGAAATTAACAGAGGTTAACTAAAAAGATGAATACCATGCTCATTCCCACCCATGGGCTTTGCAATGATCAACTTAACATGGAAATTCACTGTATCCCCAGAATTATGCTCGGATCAAAAACTGGGTGTGACCCACGGACAACAGCCAAACCAATTATAACACTGCAACATCTCATGGTAAGAAACCAAGGCATGCAGTCAATGAGAATGGGAAGGAACAAATATTGTGGCTGCTGCACAAATGGGATTTAAAAAAATTTTGAAGAGAGAGAGAGAACAACAACCTACAATGCAAAAAATGGATAACTAGACCAGTAACTTGGTGAGTTGTGACAGCAATGACCAAAATGGATGCAGATAATAAGCTTATTATTTTTAACATCTATACTATTATTAAAAGGGAACATGAACTTTGGTGTCTTGAAGCCATTCCTAAAAACTTTTCTCAATTTTCCCTAAAATGACCTTAACTTCTTACACTTACATCAATTTTAATTAGGGTAAAAATGATAAATTCAAACACTAATTCCACCTCCCACTTCTCACTCTCCACACGTCTGAAGCAGTTAACAACATGTTCCTTCAATTGCATTTTGCATCTTCCTTGGTATTCTTCACAATTTCAAACAGTAACCTGGCTTTTCCAAACTCTTTCTTGCAATCGACGATTCAGAAACTAGGGATGATAACCAATCTTGATTTGATTTGATTTTTGCGAACACGTTGATTCGTTATATTTTCAACTCAAAGGTATCTTCTATATCTATCTTCTATTAGTTTTCCTTTGAATCCTCTTTATTTATTCGAAGTTTGAGAGAGAAGGTAAGAATCAAGGCTTTTGCTTTTTTTTCCTTTTTCTTTCAGATTCATGGTTCAGAACAGTTTAAAGTGTTCAATTTTTAGTGTTTAGTAGATACATAGATATATATATAAGTTAAAAGAAACAAAATCATTTGGTAGCTTATAATAAGTTAAAAGAATTTTGGGTTAAAATCATTCGGTGGCGTGTAATAGTGCCAAATTATTCAAAGAAGCTTGCAAATTATGAATTAAGAACCTAAAAATTAATTTAATGAAAATACTAAAACACTGCTTTTTTTTTCCCCAAAAATACACACGAAATTAAGAACACTGAATTTATTTATTTATTTTTCAAAACACACACACAATGAAACTTTTTAATGAAGAAAAAAAAATACATAATAGTGTTCTCACAAAAGTAAACAAACAAACAAAACAAATTATAAAAAAGCTGAATTTATACACACAAAGAAACAATAGCTTTAAAAGTGAAAGAGGAAAAAATCCAAAACTATTTAAGTCTCTAAAAAATTGCACATAGGTGTCAAACTGTTTAATTAAAAACCTAAAAATTAAGAATGATACAACCAGACCAGCAGCCCAGCAGATCTATCCACTCACACAGCATACAGATACAACCAACAAAGCAGAATGATACCAAACAGCAGAGCATACAGATACCAATAGTAGAGCAAACAGCAGAGCAAACAGCAGAGCATACAGATACTTGTGACTTAGGCTATACAGATACCAACATCCACAGATACAAGCACTTAACAGCAGGCTATTATCTGACTTAGTTTTGTCTCTACTTTGGTTAGTGTGTGTTTTAACTAGAGTCATGCTAAGTAAGAATTTTGATAATGAATCTATTTTGATTAAATGCATCTTCAAACTTGTTAAATCTTAGTTAATAAGTAGTCAAACTGTTGTACTTTAACTAGTATATACTAACCAACATAAGAAAAATAAAATGATAAAACGAGCGAGACTTACCAAAAAGGCGATGTACGAGTTCATGGGATACCTCATCCCCTAAATTGTCCTTTGAAACCTTGCTTCTTAAGAAACTCCATGATGCTTGATGTGATCTCAAAATGCTCGTCAATCGACCCATTCATCTTCCCTATCTCTTTATTTTGTGCTTGAATTTCCTCTCTTTGTACTTGAACTTAATAATGACATAGCAATATGCTAAAGTGGCGTTACAAAAAAACTGCATGTAAGATTAATACAACTAGGGAGGGGAAGTAAGGAGCAATTTACAGTCAACCTCGGAAGATAAATGAACAGCAAAGTTTGTCGGCAACACATATAATGGCATACCTTATTGGACAATTTAGTGAAATTCGTGATGGCCCTTCAATAATCTCAGAATCTAATATGACAAAGAGAGAGAAAAAAACAATAGTTATTCAAAGCATCACAAAGATATATAATCATCAAAAAACCAAAACAAAATCACTTGGCATAATTTATTTTTTTGTCTCATTCCTTTCCATGAGCATACCTGAATCCAGTGCAGCAACAGCAGGCTGAACACAATCTTGTAGGACAGGACGATCAAGGTTTGAAATCACGCCCATATAGGCAACCACTATGATATAGTTTCCTTTACAAAGACAATAGACTGGGTCAGAGCGCAGATGAATTGCAAGCAACAAAAACAAGAAAGTAAGAGAAAACCTATGTTCAAGCATACCACTAAACTGACCCACAACTTGAAGAAGATTTGTTCCATATTTAAGCATATGCATCACGACAGTTGGAAGCTGTGGACCAGTGTCCTAATGGGGGTGGGGGAAAACACAAAATGTTTGTTACAATTTGCATTCATTGTGCATAATGTTGTCACATAAAATAACTTCCCAAATAAACATAAGAAAAGTTTACCAGCCAATTGGAATCATTCCACTTCTTGTCAATCAAGTTTTTCCATTTCTCGAGGTCACATTCAGGCAGTGGGTGGCTTCTAGCATACTCCTCTCCCTTAGCACTTTTAAGGTTCAGGTATTTTTTTCGTAGTCTGTAGGTGTGGCTGCTCAAGCTCCGTCCACACTTTGTTGCCACCACTTTGCTAACATTTGTGGAGTTACCTTCCATGTCAAATTGATCCTAGCAACAGCCACAATTCTTGTAAGTCATAATTAATTATATTACATTAATTCAATCAATTATGTAAAACTTTTACCGTTAGACGCTGAAACATAGGTGCCGTAACTTCTTCGTTGACATGTTTCCACCTGCGAATGCTAAAGTCTGGCAAGTGTGTTCGGACCTCAACACCAATTTTGGAGACTAATTGAGAGGCATGATCCCCCACTGGTGCACGATACTCCTGTGGTATGGGAACTTTGAGCTTTCCATCTTTTTGAACCATTGCTTGAACCTTCAACCCGCGTGTCAAGCCACGAGGGTGTCTACTACGCACTGTTTTAAAGACATAACATTGACTGGTTAGCAATTAATTAAAGCGAAATCATAAAAGCAATATAAGTAACTTTTTTTTTTAGCAAGTCATAATATAAAATGATGACATATAGAGATATACGAGGGCATTCCCCAGGCCTTACAACACCAAACAAAAAAAACTAGAGCTGTAAAAGAGAAACAAAACCAAACAGATAAACTAAACTAAATAAACTATAAAGAGAATCATCCTAAAATAAACCACACAAAAGAATGTTCGTTTGCCACATGAGGGAAAAAGGGCTATGAACATTCAATAGACTAACCAAAAACAATACAAAATACACTTGCATAACCCTCGAGAGAAAAAGCAAGCAAAACTAGAAAATAAACCCAAGAAAAGCCCTGCACAAATAGCACTAGCAGCAGCCACACAGGTACAGCTACAGCTTTCTTCCCTACTCTAAAGTTGATGCTTTTCATTTCTCAAGTTGTTTTCTCTTTTTCACAATTATATTTGCTATTCCGTTTTCTTGTTTCCTTACTCTTTCCTACATCTGCAGCTTTTTCGTTCTTCTCTATTACTGCCAATTTCTTCCCTACTCTTTGTTTTTGTTCAGTCTCTCCTATACATCTGCTGCTTTGTTCTGCAGTTGCTGCAGCTGCTGATTCTTTTCCGTACTGCTATTGCTTTCTATTCACTAGTCTCCTTCTATGTTTCTCCTATAGAGCACTAGTCTCATTCTCTGTTTTGGTAAGTAGTTCAGCTACTCTCACCACAATTTCAGTACCTTGGGTGCTTCCATCAGTGGTATTTTTTTTTAGTAGTTCCTATATTTTCAAATAATTTATTTTTTTTCCCTTAATTTTGAATTTTGTATCAATTAGTCCAATTGATGATACTGATTAGGAGTTTTGACATAAAATGGTCACTAAGTTGATTAATTCATTAAGTCGAACATATTTATAATATGGTCAACATGCTACTCACGTGCACATTCTTTAAAAAAGAAAAAAAAAAAAGGGATGGTGATTGTAATTAATTACACTAAATTGAGACATAATTATAAATTCAAGTAAAGATTGTGCTAATTGCTATCCTTATAATTTGGCCTAAAAAGAAAACAAAATTGTGTTTGAAACAAAAACAGGGCATGACCAAGCAGCTGATAGGAAGACAAGGACATGAAATAGCAGCAAAAATGGATTCATACATGAGAGGGATGGTGGGTGGTTCAGGAGCAAGCTTGTTTGAAGAACTTGGGTTGTACTATATTGGTCCTGTGGATGGTCATAATGTGGAAGACTTGGTTCATATCTTGAATGATGTCAAGTCCCTCCCTGCACCTGGACCTGTTCTCATCCATATTTTAACTGAGAAAGGCAAAGGCTATGCTCCTGCTGAGGTTGCAGCTGACAAGATGCATGGTGCACCTCTCTCTCTCTCTCTCAACACACATTTATTACTTTGAGGATAAAATTGAAAATAAATTAAACTACAAGGATGAAAATAGCACAAAGGACAAAAAAAATGAAAAATTATGGTTGTAGCATGGGGCTAATAAATTGGTGTTGGTTTTTTTTATAGGTGTGGTGAATTTTGAACCAAAGTCAGGGAAACAATTGAAGACAAAATCAAAGACAAAGTCATACACCTAATACTTTGCAGAGTCCTTAGTTGCTGAAGGTCAGAGAGATTAGAAAATAGTAGCAATCCATGCAGCAATGGGGGGAGGAACTGGACTGAATCTGTTCCAAAAACATTTTCCAGAGAGATGTTTCGATGTCGGGAGCAAGCTTTTTAATAGTTCCTATATTTTCAATTAAATCAGTATCATCAACTAGTCCCCTTCTCTGTTTAAGGTTCAGGTTTTTTTATTTTTTTACTTTTCCCCTAGTTTAATAAATTCTTGCACTTTCAGCAGAAGTAGATAACAATCTGTTTCATTAAACATAACCTGAAATGGCAACAACAATGGCAATGGATCGGATGCCACATCTTTATCACAACCTGCTTTGAGTTTCCAGAATGTCCGGAAGGACTTCTACCACTCCTAGCCATAATCTGATGCTTTCAATCCTCTACCACTGTTATTTTTTCTGTTTTTGTTTTTATTTTTGTTTTTGTTGTTTTTTCAAATTTGTAGGAACCAAATAGAGAAAGAAGCAACTACCTAGCTTAGTTGTAATACTCAAATGTAGGTATCACGCAGGGTAAGAGAGAGTTTCATCTACCAAGTCAATTCTTTGATTTTTCTCACGTGCAATTATTGGGTACCAAAGTATTGTCACGTGGTGCCTTCTTTGATTGAGTTTGGTTTACAGGATAAGGCTTATCGCTTATCCCATTTACATTAATGGTTTGTCTAATAGTATGAAAGGTGGCAATTAATGATTGGTGACGAGTACTATCACATAACAATGTCATGCTATACCCTTTTCTATACCCAATAATTTCTCCTTCTTCAATGTTTTTGTTCAAAGAACTAGGAATGCTTGAAAGCTAAGAGCATCTCCAATAGAGATGTTAACTTTGTGTGTTATATGACAAAAAATTATAAGTGAGACCAAAACTAAAATAAAAATAAAAAATCAATCCCTATGAAACAAATTGCTTGAATTTTTTTGCACCATAGAATTCTATTAAAACAGAGAATTTCTTTAGCTTAGTAAAATTCAGTATCTTACCGACACTAGATTGGGGGGCTGCCTCCCTCGGTGCCTCCATATCGACATCAAGTGGCTATGAGTGTTGGGTATCCACATTGTCATGTAAATCCCCATTTGGAACAACAATTGCCTCGTGCGAAGGTTGAATAGATGACTACGCCAATCGTTTTGGTGGCATTGGTAAGCCCTAAAAAACATAATACAAAAGCATAAACAATAAATACATAAAAATGGATAAGTAAAGTATACGGAAATCAAAGCATCATTAACAAATATATAGCTATCGGTGACATAGTAAAAAAAAATGAATGGCCATACATATAGTACCTCATTGTCAACACTTTCAAAGGACTCAACATCAGTGTCATCCTCATGATCTGACGGTATGTAGTCATCATCATCTACTCTAATGTTCTTTCCCTTCTGATTAACACGATTGGGCTGAGTAGAACCCATCAAAGAAGCTTCTATACGCTTTAATTGTAGAGCATCCATTTTCTTATTATTCTTCTTGATTGTCTTGTATCTTTCCATTTCGTACTCTGTTCGCTTTTGTTTCGCTAGAAAACCTGGTTTGATCCATTGTTTCTCCCCTTTGGCCATTTTGGTAACTAAAAAGCATAAATTGATATAAAACATAAAATATAAAGCATAATTTTACTTGAAGAGACACAACAAAATATAGCATAACCATGTAATGCATTAAAAACATATGTCCATATAGAAACCTAGAAAAAACAAAAACTACATATTATAATCCATATCAGGTTCCATATCAGGATCCATATCATCATCAAGTATGCCAAGTTCTTCATCTTCTTCGTCATCTCTACCATCTCTCTTTGTGTTATTTGAAATAACCTCAACTTCAATATCATCCCTATGAAATCGAATAATATCTTCAATGTTGATCGGGACAACTGAGTTAATGTTTTCTTGTTGGAATGCATCATTAAATTCTAGTTGATCTGGTGGTTCTCCATCACCAACCTCTGGCACATCAAACACACCTTTATGTTGGACCCGTTGCACGACTTGCCAAGGTTGCCCCCATTTGGTGTCATTCAGGTAGAACACTAGCTTAGCTTGACTAGGCAAGATAAAAGGGTCAGATTGATACCATCGGCTTGTGACATCGATGCTTGTGCAATATGCGTCAGCTCGTACTGTTCTACTTCTACCAGTGTTACCGGTGTTGTACTATTCACATTGAAACAAAACAACTTTATTTTGACACATGTACTCAAATTCCCAAATATTGCACAAGTGACCGTAGAATTCGTGCATCTCTTCCTTGTAGTCCCCTTCGGTAAGCACACCACTAATTTGACTCTTACGACGATTGTCTAATTCCTTCGTATGAAATCTTACACCATTGATTATACAACCCGAGTACTCTTTCACTAGAAAATTAGGACCATTCGCTAATGACCACAATTCTTCGGTTGCTTCTGGTGCCTCATCAACTCTCAATCTATTTATCTACATCCACATGCAATGTGCAACACTTGAATTATGTTAGTAATGTTTGTATGTTATAAAAGCCTAATAGTGTTTGAGTAATTGTGAATATTAAAAATGACTTACATATTCTTTGAACCACTTCGGAAATTCCTTATGTTGTATCTGAGTTATATCTTGTCCAGTGGGAATTTGTAACAAATTCTTGTGTTCCCTACTCAAATAGTTTTGGTTAATGTGTGAAATACTACTATTATTAATGACTAATAACATGAAAATTGTTAAAATATATATAATTATAAGAAACGCGTACTGAAGATACTTCTCTATCTCAGGGCTATTGTATAATAAGAACCAATGAGCAATGTCACGAAGTTCCTGTGACATCTCAACATGCTTTCTGATTTGGCCAATAGGGCGAGCAGTTTCGGTGAATATTATCAAACCTTCACGACGGACTCCATAATCTTCATTTCATGCATCTCGATTATGCACGGTTTCAATCCCTTCAAGATACATTGAGCAAAAAGTAATGCACTCATTGACAATGTAAGCCTCTGCAATAGAACCTTCTGGTCGAGCTCGATTGGTGACAAACTTTTTCAAAGCTCTGAGAAACCTTGAAGAGATAACCAATTAGGAGTATGGTTAGGCACACAACATAATCTATACCTTTCATTTGAAAGTACAATTTTAGAAATTACCTTTCAATTGGGTACATCCACCGATATTGCACATGTCCTCCGAGAATAGTCTCACATGGCAAGTGAATGGCCAAATGAACCATCACATCGAAGAAGGCTGAAGGAAAGATCTTTTCAAACTTACATAGTATGAGTACTATACATTCCTCTAATTTCTCCATTTCACTTCGTTTCAGTGTCCTTGAGCATAGATCTTGGAAGAAGCTACCTAACTCAAAAAGTGTTGTACTGATCTCTTTATCTACGTAACCACGCATCCCAATAGGAAGAATCCGTTGTATAAATACATGGCAGTCGTGGCTTTTCAATCCTGTTAATCTACTATTTTTTGCATTCACTGATCTCGAAATATTTGCCGCATACCCATCTGGATACTTGACTGATTTCAAGAATTCAAAGAAACCCTCTCTCTCTTTAGGGGTCAATGAGAAGCTGGCTCGCGGCTTCACATATGATCCATCGGGATTTGTTGTTAGCCACAATTCTTTCCTTATATTCATATCTTCTAAATCCATTCGTGCCTTATCTGTATCCTTGTTCTTCCCATCAATTCCCAACATCGTTCCAAAAACATTTTCACTAAAGTTCTTCTCCACATGCATGACATCAATGTTGTGTCGAAGCCTCCTTTTCTTCCAATACGGTAGCTCATACAAGATGCTTACCTTTGTCCAATTTGGGTTCTGACGAGGTCTTTTCCTGTTGCTTGGATGTTTTCCATATGTGACACCCGTCACGCTGCCCAATTGTCCTTCAATTTTTTCTATCGGTATCACCAAAGATCTCTTCCGTTTTTTCATGCTTGCCATTATATGCTCTACTCTTTCGCCTTTCTGGATGGTCATCAGGCAAGTAACATCGATGGTTACTATACGTAGTCTTACCTCTTAAAGATTCAAAATATGGTTCATCATTGCAAGTGTAACAAGAGTAATGACCCTTTGTTCTCCATCCAGAAATGTCACCAAATGCGGGCCAATCATGTATCGTCCACAGCAAAGCTGCACGCATGCAGAAAGTCTCACCAGTCGAGGCATCATAGGTTAATGTACCATTTTTCCATAATTCATTCAATTCTTCCACTAAAGGTCTCATGTAGACATCAATATCAATTCCTGGTTGTGATTCACCAGGAATAAGTAATGATAGCATGAAAAATGGGTCCTTCATAGCCAACCACGGTGGCAAGTTGTATGGAATGAGTACGACAGGCCACAAACTATATGAGTTATTCATATTTCCGAAAGGGTTAAAACCATCAGTAGCCAAACCTAGCCTCACATTTCGAGGCTCCAAGGCAAATTCAGGATGTTGTGTATCGAATTCCTTCCACTCATCACTATCTGTAAGATGCCTCAATACACCGTCATCTAGATGTTTTTCCTTAAACCATTTCATATCCTCGGCTCTCTTCCTCGACATGTACAACCTTTTCAATCTCGGTGTTAATGGGAAGTATCGAAGAACCTTACGAGAGATCTTCTTACCTCTACCATGATTTGTCTTGTATCTAGAAGCCTTACAATTTGGACATTTATCTAGTGTTGCATTCCCCTTCCAAAAGAGCACGCAATCGTTTACACAAGCATCAATGAGCTCGTATGACAAACCCAATTCACGTAGTATTTTTTTAGCTTCATAAGTTGACTTTGGAACCAAATTATCCTTCGGTAAAAGTTTTGTTAAAAACTCTAGCATCATGTCAACTGACTTATTACTCCAATGGTTTGTTACCTTCATATTAAGTATCTCGATGACAAATTTTAACAAAGTGTAATTTGTGCAACCTGGGTACACCTCACGTTTGGCATCATTCAATAATTTATCAAAAGTGCGAACCTCCTCCTCTTGAGTTGTATTAGTTAATTCCCCTCTTATTCGATCTTCCACTAAGGCATCAATACCTCCCAAATCCTCATTGCCCTCAACGGGTATATCATGATGATAAGCCTCATTTGATTCACGGGGTTCCCCATGCACGTGCCAGATAATGTAAGTTGGAATAATCCCATGTTGCAGCAAATGAATTTGAACAATTTGAAAATTTTGACGAACAACATTCACACACTTTCAACAAGGGCACAAAATTTTACCATCTCGATCGATAACCGCCATTGCAAAACGAAGAAATGATATTACCCCATCATTATATGCCCGACTTATCCTTCCATCAACTGTGCTACCTAATGCAATCCAACTCTTGTCCATGTCTGACTAAGCCGAGTTAATTAAAGTTAGGTGAATAGGACAAATTTTATATAGAAAATATATATATATATATTTTTGTTAATTGAAAAAAATTTCAAGTCCAATGGTTATACTGAGTTATATAAATTACAACCACACATAAATCACGTGAGAAAATAGCCAAAGCAATTTAGCGTAAACAGAAGAAATATTCATAACCAAAACATAAACCACAGCAAAATAACCATCAATAAGTAGACAAATATCATAATTCAAAGAAAATTAAACCAATAAAGCAGTGAGCTGAGAGTAAAAAGCAGATAACATGACACAGAAAGAAAACCCACAATATGCCACATTGAGTTTCTAAAGCAGTCAATTTAAGTACTCAAATATCCAAATGCAAAATGATATGATTGAACTACACGTATTTGGAAAAATATATAACTATTCTGGCTCACATTTCACTCGGTAAACAAAATATGATTAAATTCTGCAGAGGAACTTAATAATGTATTTAAGGAGTTATGCATATAAAAAATGAACGATGCCAATAGAAATGAACATGCGACAATTCCAATGAATGCTCGAGACTATAATTTAGTACTAAGCCTGTTATTGTAGTTAGTACTCTGTTGGATTTTCTCTTTACTCAACTATATACGAAGTCCAGAGAAGTTAAAGCAAGATATGCTAATTTAAGGTTGTAATATTCCAATTTTCATTAAATTGATAGTTGTGAGAGAAAAAATAATTAATTAATATGTAATATATAATATTTTATCTTATTGATTATTTTAATATTTTTTATTTTTATTGACTATTTTAGCCAAAATCTATCATCCCAAACATATAGACTCAAACTCCCCTAAAAACTTAGAAATGCACATGAGAGAGAGGACTGGGGCCACTGTTTTGTTTGGGAAGTGTTGGATTGGAGATGATAACAGTGAATGGTTTGTAAGAAAAAGTTGAAAACCCTTGAAAGAGAGAATAATTCCTTCATGGAGCCAAGGGGCTGTGAACTGTTACTCACTGTTTTAGATAATTCAAAGTATACAGATTTTGGATGCAAAGCTAAGGGTCATAAGCGGCGCAAATAAATTATTTTAGCCAAATAAATAAAATAAAATAAAAATAAAGAAAAAAGATTCACACTCTACCCTATATCAGTACACGATATAATATAGTATAAAAATTATATAAATTTATAAATTTTATAAATATATTGACTTTTTTTTAATAAAAAAAAATCAACAAAAGAAAAGTTTCTTGATGAAAATTGCAGATATACAAAGAGAGTGTACAATATACAGATACATCAATAAGAAAATCCATAGATAAATGCATCAAACTGAAACACAAATGAAAGACAAATTAGAATATGATATCAGAACACCAAAAGCAAGATATTAATCTTAGAACATTAAAAAGATATTCACTTCAAGTAGACAAAGCTCAAAGATATCATATATACTAATCAGGTCTCCACATTTCAGTTTTTTTGTCACTAATTTTCTTTGGCATCCAACGTGCCTTTTTAAATGATGGTGCATAATGCTAAGGGCACAAAGGGAGCTAGTAAAAGTAATTCAAAACATAATTACCAAATAAAGTATATAGCGTAACTTTATACTTAATCTCACCTATTTTTTCAGCAAAAATTAAGATTTATTGATGTAAAAGAAAAGGTTATAGAAGTACACTGCAAATACAAAATGAAACTTCAAGCTGTTTTGGGAATAAATTAAAAAAAATTACAAAAATAGTCAACTCCTTTCTTTCTGTTCTTATATGTTTTCTTATAAAAAAAAAATCAAAAATCAACTTTTCAAAACAACCCTTAATATGATTAACATTCACAATTCATTTAATTTTTGAATAAATTTTTCAAGCTTTGTAATGTTGCTATAAATGAGAATTAGTATATAGAATTAGATACAAACATGGGGTCATTTTAGGGCAACTTAGAGCTGACTCTCTTATATGTTTCATATGGGATTTTAGGAAACAAATATTGTAAACTAATCAACTCAACATTTATATGCTGAGAAAGTAAAGCCTAATGAGTAAATGTGGAGACCTGATTAGCATTATTACCTTTATTCTTAAACATAAACAACCCCACAGAATAAGAATTTCGACATGCACATTCTCTAGAGTTGAGCTTAATGAGTAAATGGACTAGCTAATGCCACAACAAAGCAACTTAACATACCATAAGGACTTACTAATTAGGTCCCCCACGGTAGATAATTAATAAATACTTATGGTAGTGATTTTAGCAACATAAGTACTAAGAGCATCTCCAACCACACTCTTTATTTTTCACTAACTAAAGTACAAAAAAAGGACACTCTTTATTTTACCTAATTAGTTTAGCTATTGTGTGTTCCAATCATATTCTTTATTGTAACTAGTCATTCAAACTAACTTAACCAATTTTCAAAACAAAAAATGCTATATATATTACTGTATTTTTCATAGAATGCCACATACACACCAAACGCTAAAATGGTTGCCAATGTGACATTTGTGATAATATTTTTAAAAATAATATTTTTTAATATTAGTTTTAAAAATACAATAAAAAATAATGAGAAAATGACTAAGATTCCCAGTTGGAAGCAAATTAATTAATAAATGGAGATCATTTCAATTTAAACACTCCTTGTTTTGTTGAAAATGATTCAATGATAATTTTAGATAAATAAATGGAGATCATGTAAATTCAATAAAAATTGATTCAATGATAGTTGCAACAAACTCTCTAATGATATATAACAAGAGCTAACATTCTGCTTCCAATGAAGAATTCTGCTACGATTAAAGCTAGAATCCCAAGTCTACAACCAACTCTGTAATGATATATAAAAGAGCTCTAATTCTGTTAACATTCCATCAAGCCTATATATTATAGAACTAAGAATTCTAGTGAAATTAAAACTAGTTTTGAAGTTTCAAATGAACATGAATAAAAGTAATTTGGTGGGGATTAACCTTTCATAGACAAGATTGCAGAGGTTAGCTGGGATATCAGGTTGTTCATAAACTAATTTTGTTAGCGTGTTCCTGTTTGGAGTTTGAAGTGAACAAGGAGGCACATAGACACCAACCTTGTCACAATTTGACAAAGCTCAACCATGTCTTCAATTCCTATCTCCTATCTCCTATCCTCACGTACAAAATAATGGGTTTGTTTTGTTCTAATAACTAAATTAATTGAAATGGGAAGGAAACTGGTATCTTGATTGAAGTGTTTGATCCACTTCAATCAAACACTTCACCAACCAGACTCCAAACAGGAACACACCAACAAAAACTAAGAACAACAACCAACACACAGCATCAGTAACATACAGGGACAACAGACACACACAGATCAGAAACAGATCAGCCAAGAATCTGCAACAGAGCAAACAAAAAACCACAACCAGAGCAGACAAAAACCAGTAACATAGCAGACAAAAACCAGCGATAGAGCACCCAAAAACTAACAACAGATCAGTAACACACAGGAACAGATCAGCAACTTATTTGATGCATATTCTAATATACAAAGATTCATGATTAGGAAGATCTAACTCCCAAACAAGCATCGACACTAGATAATGTTTATGATGATGTTTACGGAGCTGATATGGGATCACCTTCAAGCCAAGGCCCCAAGCTAGACCTCTTGTCCAAAAAACATTTAGAAAAAAAATTGGGATTGTGTTCTTTCTGGATAGGTGATTCTGCTCTTCAATGTTCTTAAAGATTGAAGAGTTGCTGCCTTGAGTGAATGCTTAAGGCTCCAACCAGGTCAAAACTATGGGTACTCTGCTCTCACATATGGAGAAAGGCATATGTATGAATTAGAATATGACAAACTTCCACATTTCATTCTATCAGACCAACTCAGTGGAGATCCTAGCCACTAGGAGGAATTCCACCAGAAGTACAACATAAGATTATCTAGGGGGTAATACTTGAGGTGAATTGGTATACCCTTGGAGGAATTCCACCAAAAGCATCTGAAGTTTACAAAATACCCAGGGCCAATAAAAATCAACATTGGTTTGCGCAATTTGCAACAAAATTTCAATAACATTTGACCCCTTCATGTACTTAACTTTGCCGCTACCTTCTACTGCCACTCGGACAATGACAGTAACTGTATTTTATGGTGATTGGAGTGGTCTTCCAACGCAATACACTGTTACTCTCCTAAAACATGGCTGCTGTAAAGATCTCAGTTAGGCTCTGAGTACTACATGCTGCTTAAGGAGCGATGAAAGCCTGTTGCTTGCAGAGGTAATTTATATCTTCTTGACTTCTATTATATATTTACTAATCTGTTGCTAATTCTTTATGTATTAGTCTTCTGAAGCCCTGGATTTTTAATATGCAGGTTTACGAACATCGAACATATCGATATTTAGAGAACCCTTCGGAACCATTACCTTCTATAAAAGATGATGAACATATTGCAGCCTACAGGCTTCCAAAGCGGGCAGAATTAACAAGACTAGAGATATGTCATCGATACTTGGAAAAGTGAGTTCTCATTCTTGAATCCTTAGTTGTTACGTTTCCACTTGGCTAAGATTCAAAAATCTTGAATCCTACCATGCCTTGTGTGTTTGGTCTTTATTAGGTAGAGTTGACATGTCTGTATGAGTCTATGGTTTTTATTTCCTTGTTAGGGATGCCAAATTGCCTAGTTGCATAGATGCTCTGATTGATCTTTTTAGTTTTTTGGTCTGAAGGCAATGAACTACATTATAGGAATAACCCTTGAACAAAAAGCCAAAAAGGAAGGAAAAGTAATAAAAGAAGTGAATGAAGGTGGGATGTAACCCAGGTCTGAAGTCCGGTTGCTGTGTACTAGGATAGATGACACCTTTGTTTTAAGTAAACATTTATTAGGTTTAAGACTTTTTCCTTGTAACTAAAGCATCATTGCTTTCCAGATGTTTGTCAGATAATTTCAAGGGCAGTGAGAGGAAACTTTTGTTGACACCACTGGTTACTTATCT